ATTCTTTTGTTTTTCTGTTGCTTTTCTGTTTCAGCTACTAGGCTATATATATAGCCCTTCTTTCTTGAATAAATGTGAAAAGTATTTTGCAGCTGCAAAACCTGTTTTGTGCGTTATTTACTTTACATAGGTTCACTGAACGTTCGGTTCGTTTACGACACTAGTAAGTATTTCAAATCGTAAAATCCAAATAATTTTATAACAAACTTGCGAATTAAAGATGCAGCCTCTTGTATTATGTCGATCCAAACATAATATAATAAATAGTATAAATACATGGTGAAATTTTTTACATCTTACAATAATCGTTACAAAATTCAAGACGCCGGTACAGCGACCTTCAGAGGCATGGATTCCCAGTCGACGGGCTCGCCACAATGTTCACTCGTCACAGCGACCTGATGGGACGCACCAACGGTTGCTTTCAGGCGATACCGTTCAGCCCTAGATCCAATCACCTGGCCCAGAACAGAAGCTGCTATCGTAAAAGCCATGGCAGATTTGGGCATCAACACCGATTTTCTAAGCATGGCGATAAATGGAACGGCTGCGTGAACCGCTGCAAACCAAGAAGGTGAGAATTTCTTAGTGTGTTCTCTCCAAATCCCTAAAGGGACGTTAGCCGCCATGCCCATGGCTCCGATCGCAAGCACTTTTGCCGGCAGCGGTTGGGGCCTGAGGTTCTTTGCAAAGGTGGTTCGAGCTAAAGCGGCTCGGGCCGCCACGATGATTGGTGGGCACCTGTAGTTTATGCCTGACGGGAGTTTAAAGGATTTGGCCACCATTGGTAGGACATTACTCACTGATCTATAGGATTTGGCCATGGGGCATTTCCCATTTTGCAGCCATTCTTCACCCATTATTTCATCTCCTTTCTGTAAAATGATTTATAAAAAGGCAAGTTAGATCTCTTTCGTCTATATGGATGTTCGATGAACTTGTGATAACACATTGACTAATGTACCTGCGAAGACTCTTTCTTGGATGATTTGTGTTTTCTTTGTTGATTCTTGAACATCTCATTGAATGCATCAAATCCGAAGGCCCCACCGAAACCCGAGAGACTGATAGTAGCTGCCTTCGCTGCTAATGGGTTGAACTGCTGTGGAGCTGGTTCGGACCTCAACTTCGAACAATCCGATGATTGATCAGAAAGTGGAACCACGCCATTTTGCCCATGAAAAATCCTGAATGCCGCATCAAAATTGGGACCGTCCTCAAATATAGGACCTTTGGTTCCGCGGACCTGATCACGCGAAAAGAAACGATGAGGATAGTTTCTAAACATAAACTTGCGAAGAAAATGCAGGAGGAAGTTTCCAATTTGCCAACTTTAGGTTTCTTGAACCGTTTCCTACTAACTAGAGGGTTATGTTCGCTGTTTTCGGGCTATTAAGACGGTCTTTTTTGCATTTATTTAACCACGTTGGTTGTTTAGAGCCAAAATGTGGGTACAATGGTTTAAAATGACAATTACTCTAGCAAAATGCGTACATAATTGAGTATATACATGTAACGACGACATAAATGACAGCAACGCACCGGCAATGGAAGAGCCACGGAAGATGAAAAGGAGAAGTTAGTTGGTTCGTTAATGTTACGCAGAAACGGGCAACTAACAATGTCGTGTTGGTTAGATGACGATTCCCCGGCCATGTTTCTACAGAAAGAATTCATTTTTTTTACGGCAAGACGATCTGCATCGAAGAAAAAGACGTAAATAAATATCATTTTTGGAGCACATCAAGTAAATGGAACCCAAAATCACATCCAAAACTAATAAGATCAAGAAAACAATAAAATGAAACGAGGGGTCGTGATCACACTTCATAAACCAATTTAATCCAATGGACTCTTGTAAGAACAAAAATGTCTATAAGCCTTCGTTTTGACGAGAAAATCAAGGAATTTAGTTTCATAAAAAAACTAAGATGAACCTTGTATATACAAGAAGGTCAGTGAGAGCATAATAGTATTCCTAATCCTATATGTCGATGATATACTAATCATCGGAAACATCCCAACACTTAAGAAAGTAAAAACATGGTTAGGGAAATGTTTCGCGACAAAGGATTTAGGAGAGGCAGCATACATTCTTGGCATAAAGATCTACCGTGATAGATCTAAGCGCTTAATTGGATTAAGCCAAAGTACATATGTTGACAAAATCTTGAAACGCTTCAAGATGGAGGGTTCATAGTTGATGGTTGTTATACTTCGATCTCGAGTGTCAAATGAACAATTTTTGATTTCAGAATTGATACGAATATACAAGAAAAAATAATAAAATAAGAGAACATGAGAACGGTTAAATCACATGTCATTCCACACGATTAAGGCCAAGTCACCCACACGCCTTTACTTGACCATGTACTGTAATCGTATATGATTCCGGTGCAAAATTATTCTCGTGTTTTCTTATTTACTTTCTTCTCATTTGAATCTCTCTCTATGTGTATATATATATATACATATACATATATTATATCATAGTAACACCTCTGCAAATAGAAGTATGAAAATCAAAAAGAAAGAACAGAATATCAGAAACTTTAGCTTCATAAGCCATCAAATGAAACTAACGTTACAAATGAATCTAAAACTCAAAAAGTTATGAATTCACATGAAGAAACGTAAAACAAACATACAGAAATAAGTGCGATTCCACCAGATATCTTATAATAAAACCCTAAATAATATTTTAGCATATAATCCCCATCACCAACCCAATTTTGAATTTCAGCAAAAACCAATCAACAATTCAGTCGAAAACTTAAACTGAAACGAATCATGCGATCAAAATTCAGAAATCGAAAAGGGCAAAAGTGTGATTCAATTATACCTTGAGAAGATGGTGGATTGATGGAAAAAGCTCCAATAATATCTGATTTAGAATGTATGAAAGAATCAAAAAATGGTAGTATGGAGAAGAAGAGGCGTTGAGTTGAATATATGGAGGGAATATGCCATCCACACTCTTAAATACAGAGGACCCCTTCTCTTAACCAAAACGACACCGTGATGTACACACGCACCTCTTTCACGATGAAATGGGTCAAAGCTTGGGGGCTGAATATGCGTGGAAAATGTGATCTGCTGCTTAAGTAAATAAATAAATAAGACTCGTTCTAGTAGTCGATCATACAAGACTTTTGAACTTGCAAATTTTTGTTCATTTGTTTTATTTTTAATTAAATCTATTATTTATTTATTTATTTATTTAAATCTTTCTTTATTATTTATTTGTTCTGGAAGCACGCTTGATAAGGACATTTTAACCTTCATAAATGTTTTTCTTATGTAGAAAACATTATCATTTAAATTAAAGTTTAATTTTGATTCCTAAAATTTACAATTTTTAATAATTCGTTTTTAAAATTCAAAAATCCATATTTTGTCTTTTATGTTTGTAAACTCCTACTAACTTTGATCCTTCCGGTCTAACGATAATTAACTTTTTTTTTTTCTTAAATCCAATTAAATAGGAGGTCTTTTAATTATTTTAGAACATTTTTTTATTTTTTAATAAAATTTAAAAAGTTATAAGATAAATTAATTTATACTTATCTTATAAGACATTTGGTTAAAACTCTTAAAAACTCTTAAACTCGTTTATCCCTAAACGATTTCATCCCTATCTGATTTTTTCTCATATCTGAATTCGTGTAACTAACTGCAGATAAACRCAATCAAATACAAGATAAACATCTTATTTTAAATATAAAAAATCTAAAATATAATTAGGATAATCATTGAGTTCTAACAGAATACTTAATTATTATCTTTATAAAATGTTATATTATTAAACCAAAAATAAATTATTTCATTATTAAACTTAAATTAAATTATAAAAAAAATAATCTATACTATATTATAAAGCATTTGACAAAAACTCTTAAAAACTACTTTTGATGCGTAAAGTACTGTTTATTAATGCATATTACTTAAAACTCAAGATTACAAGTAGATTGTACAACTTATTAAAACTCCATATCTGAATTCGTGTAACTAATTGCATATAAACATAATCAAATACAAGATAAACATCTTATTTTAAATATAAACAATCTAAAATATAATTATGCATAAAGTATTGTATATTATACGAATATCGATATATTTTTGTTATGCATAAAGTAYTGTATATTGATGCATATTACTYAAAATTCAAGATTACAAGTAATTATGCATAAGTACAACTTATTAAAGCTCGATGTTTGAATTCGTATAAATAACTGCGGATAAACATAATCAAATAGAGGATGAGCATCTCATTTTAAAATATAAAAATTCTAAAATATAATTAGAATAATTATCGAGTTCCAACAAAATAAATAATTATTATCTTTATAAAAAACTAGAAACGTACTCGCTATATCGTGATTTTAATATTACGTTTTAAAAAGAAATTGATCCGATGTTTTTCATTAATGTTGATCTAGTAGAACTCTTCAATTATGATTGATGTAAAGGTAGAGATCTAATCTCTGTCACCATAACTCTTATTCTTATCAAAACCCAACCCTTTATTTAGATTCTCAATATCATTTTAATTTTTGACAAAAATTATAAAGGTAATTCTAAATGTAGCGACACTTGAAATTTGACACACCATACCAATTATTTTCCTATCACTGTTCACATGTTAACATCAACAAACATTCAATTTAGATGTTTGTTTCATACGGCTACAACTTTATAGGACTAAAAAACCCTACAACAATAGTCAATCCCCCTTTTTAATAGGATGGAATAGTAGAACAACTTGTAATGCTAAAACTTTATTTGAAATATAACTCGTTTGTAAGCTACAGTACACTTTTCTTGACATTTCGAACTCGAATTAATTTTCTAAATGATTTTTCATTGCAAACTAACCATCATTTTTATAAAATAAAATAAAGGCCAAATAAAACACTACCGTTCGCAAAAACAACAAACGGAAAAAATCACGTTACATCCAAAATAACTCATTTGTTGATCTTTAAAAAAATAAGATGATGATGATGATGATGATTTGTATGCAACAAAAAGTCGAATCATTTGAATGGAAACCTCCAGCCTCAACTAACTTTACCTTACTGGAGAGTGGAGCTATTTGGATGCCTCTGTGGATCTCTTGTATTCTGGCTTCAACTCATAAGTCCCTTGGTTTGATCCTTTGTTGTTGTAGATGCAAAGATCTTTAAGCAAATCTTTCAGGAATTGCTGAAAATCAACAAAACATAACAACACAACACATATTTTCTTACTTTTGTTTTTCATTTTCAAATTTAAAAAAAGAATCTTTTGAATCAAAATCGATATTTGACATAATTTGGAAAACTGGAAAGAAAAAGCAGCCTACTTCGGGTTGGTCTGTCTCGGAAATAAGTTGCTTTAAAGTCCAATTCGATTGTCTCTCGAAGAGTTTAAACATAATGTCTTCCATCTCCCCGCGATCCCTTCTGGTTCTTTTTGTGTCTGATCCTTTTACCGGAGCTTTCTTCCTTTCCTGTAAAACCAAAGTGCACCAGGCATTTCACAATGGTTACAACCTGTTTCTTTTACGGCCACAAGAGTTGGTTGCTTGAAACGCCCCGTAGCCCAAAGCAGCAGGTTGCCTTAATAACCTCCAAATCAACTAAAAACCGTAACGGAAGTTATTGATGAACCATAACTTTGAGCTTATAAAGAAATAACAAACCTAACTTTATATCCATGTGGGATGATATATCCGACTAGGAAGAAGGGTCTGGGGTTGGGATGTACTTAGACATGTCCTATACCCCAAAGAGTAGAGCGACTATTTCATAAAGTTTGGAAGACGTTGAAAAGTAGGGAGAAGCTCGAATTACAGTTTGTGAGGGGGGCCTGAAGGCAATCAATCCTGGCATCGGCCTCATATGTGCTCCATTATCATTGTCGATAACCTGAAGATGAAAGAAAGCTATATGAATGATTACAAGCAATTTGAAGTTGTTAATAGTCATTTGGGAAAGGTAAAAGAGACCTGTATCTGTCGAGTTTTTGTCATATACTTGTTGGTTCGTTCACGACAGAGCTTCCCATACTCCTCTAGGTTTTCATTATGAGGCTTCATGTCAAATTTATAATATATTGTCCCTTCAACAGAAAGCCTTCCTGAAGTATAGGAGTTGGCCAAATAGAAGTCTTAGGTAACAAGAAAAGTGACATGCTTTAAGGAATTAAGAATGCTCCAAAAACTACCACATGCAAATCATAGTTAAAGAATCAACATATGTTGGTTATCCACAAGAAGCCGTGACATGAAATTTAAAATTCAAGAATATAAACTATGCCAGCATGAATAATCACTACTTCCATCAGTTCCGTTAAATCTAAAAGGTATTTCCTTGATCAAGATTGCAAATTATTTCTATCATACTCATGAACAATGGATCTGTTTCAAACATTAGTCACCATACAAAAAGGCACCAACTTCATCTATGAAAAAAGGCACATAACTAGTCAAGGTCTGTGGGGAGAGAGAGAGAGAGAGTGCATATACATACATATATATACCATATACTATCCGGATGGGATGAAGATGTAAAAGTAGCAAGCCTTTAATCTCAAACTAGTTGGAGGATGAGATGTAAACCAAAACAAAAGAGAGAGTGAGAGTTTGACAACTCTATGGTTGGAGGTAACAGCAGGGAATCTTAAGAGCCGTCGATAATGTGAGAGAAGGGAAACCATTTTGATAAAATTGGCATCTCCTATCATGGCTGAGTGAGAATTATATAGATGGAATTTGTTACCAAATTACTTGTTAAAGAGCCACATTGGAAAAAGGATATGGATCTCTATGAGATTGACAAGAAGTAACAATGGGAGGCAAAAGGAACCACATTCTCTTTGTTGCTCCAAGTCTTGATCTGTCTTGTCCTTTAACAATATGGCTTCCACACTTCTCACCACTGTGATTTAAATTTATTACGCACAAGTTTTTTGAAGTTATAATTTGTCGAGGACAGGTCATAAGAGCCCAAAGCTCTCCTACGATGTTCATAAAATATGTATTTTGATGAAATTTGTAAATTCATTTATAAAGTTTTGAAGCTACATATCCATAAAACTCTTTATGGCATAAAATAGAAACTTACTACAAGCAGCTTAGCTAGAGATGCAAAGGAATGCATTACCAAATTCACCAGCACAAATGAAGCGTCTGTTCCACCAAGTAAGAGCATGTTATTTGACTCATCATACAAAAAGTTAAAGAATGCTTCTACTCACCTTGCTTGGACTCGGAAAATACAGACATTGGAATGATATCTTTTGACATGTCCATAGAGTAACATTTCGGTACTCTCCCAGATTGATCAGTGCCCAGCAACTCCAACTGATCATATCACATAAGGATTGCATAAATTGGAAAATTAAGACACTATGTACGACATTAAGAAAAGGAATAACATTGCGATTCTATTTAAATTTGAGAAAGTGGAGAAATAGACAAAGATGTACAAGAAACAATTACATCTTCTTAATTAGCAGAACAATTAGTCTTCTATTCTCTTGTGTCTTTCCTTCACCATGTAGCATAGAACAGAACATTACATCAGAATATTATCAAGATGCAAACATGTACAGAAAGATACACATAAGCATTCACCACAAAGGGGGACTAAAAATTTATATGACAAAGTAGAATGGTACATAATTTGTCTATATTCATCCAAAAATACTTGCTTTACACAAAGGAATAATTAGGAGCTTGTACACGTAAGTTGTAACTGCCTGCAGGTTGTAAAATTCACATCATTGTGAAATTCTGACATCATACTGCCAATCCTGGCTCTCGAATGTACAAACTATTTCAGCACAAATAATCCAACATTGTCTCTTGAAAGACCAACGCTAGATTTCCTCAACATCAGAATTCAGAACCCAGATATAAAAATAGTTTAACTGCATACCCAGTAACTGAATGCATAACCTAATAATTGAGATAAGTATCATACATCATCCAAAATTCAAGATCATTCAGGAAAAACAAGCAAGGACGAAAAAATGACTCAAACTTTATCCGGAAAATTTACAGACATAGAATACTATATTCATTTTTCAGAAAATGAGACATGCAAGGAGCAAGATTTTCATGCATTAAACATGTTCGACTAATTATGAATCCTCCTGTGCTTTGATCCCTAACTGAAAGTCATCAAATTACTAAGTTTTTTTTACTTCTGTGTCTGGCGGTCTCATTCTTATCACCAGCCTCCTTCCTTCCCACCTTCCAGCTTCCGGCCTTCTCTTTTCTGCCTTTTTTTCTTTTTATTTTTTTTACTATCTTCATATTGTGTTGGGAACTTGGAATGGTTTATAATGTTGTTTGGGGAAGGTGATGACAGCATTTCCCCTTCCTTTAAGTTTTCTTCTTTTCCGTGTTTGTTTTTTTACTTCTTTTCAACTTGTATGCCACTGTGTACCTTTTCTTCTAATGAATCTTTGTTGTGCCTTGATAATATAACATCTTCTAAACATCCCAATTGTTCTTCATTTCTGGTAAAAAAATCCAGGCAACATCCGGCATACTTAAAATGCTGAACCCTGTAGTCCCAAAATTCCAACCCATTTCTTCAGCAATATGCTTCTCAAAACAGATGCAAGAAAAGTAGGATAAAAGGAAAAGAAAGAAAACATCATAAGAAAAAGAAAACAAGAATTATTCTTTCTTCATTTAATTAAAATCTTCTATCTTGAAAATAATCCACAGAACACGCAAACTACATTGCTTTCCGCTCGCCTTTTCTTTCAATTAACAAGTTCCATTAACCAAACATAGCCAAAGGCAACATGAAACCAGCACTCATTACAATCATCGCACAATCAAAGCAGTTTTTATCGCAACAAACAATTCATATTATCATAAACAGACAACTTGCCTTGTTATAATGTAGTAGTAAACTGGGGTTCCTATTTCCCATCCCAAACCCAGGAGTTTTCAGCCAAAGACATAAAAAAATCGTGACTTCTTTGATTGATATGAGGCCCAAACTGCAAATTGTTATAAAGTATGAATTATAGTGTAATGAATTTTCATTTTGACAATAGACATCTTAAAGAATTTGTTTCAGTGGATTTTTTGCTAAATAACTTGAGTAACTTAACAGAAACTAACACCATCTAAGAACTTTTATACAAGTCATAGATCATTCATCATCAACATTGACGATTATTAGCATGAAATTTTGGTATGGAACAATTGCCATCGACTTTCCAGGGAACTCATAAGGAAAAGAATAATACGTATCTATATGTGTGTGTGCGGATGCAAACAAGGTCATTGGTATCGGATGGAAGGAATGACGGTCTGAGATTTACTATTACCTTATTCATAAATATTGTTCTACGCTGTCATGCATACATAAAAAGCAAAATCAAACATCCTCTAAATTCAACAAAAGTAATATTTAGGAAAATCAATTGGAAGAAATTAGGCTTTTTTTTCTCAATTTCGAACAGATTACATCACAAAACTAAACAATCTATACATTTTGGTCACATTTTACAACGTATAAAACAAAACGTAAATAGCAATGTACCTGAGTAGATGAGAAATCTTCATTAGGGAGCAGAGGATCAACGTTGACGATAACCTTGGCGGTGATTGGAGCAGAAGAAGAATCGGGAGGCGACGGTAGGTGTGGTTGTTGTTGCGAAAGTGAACGAGACACGATTGGAGGGCATTTCATGAGCCAAACATGTCTCTCCGATTTGCTCGTCTCCAATAACTTTTGTCCCCCGCCGCTGTTAGCCTTCGCCGAGACGGAGATTTTGGTGGTGGCGTTGATTGGGTCGTCCATTTTTTGTAACGGCTTTTTTAGGTAGAGGAGAGCGAGAGTGATTGTGTGCATGCATATTATATATATAGGAGTGCAGGTGTTTCAGAACTTCTTCCTTTACCCTGTATACATTTATAGTCCCTATTGAATATAAAACGTCAACTTCAGTCCTCTTAGTTGGTTATTTTGTTCCAATCTTGGTTTGGTTTATTTGCTTTTGAAAAATAATTTTGTCCACGCTATTTGGCAAAAACTTGATAACCGTCAACTCCAACCAGCCTCGTACGAAACCTGTCTCCAAAGACATTAATGTGAATGGATATTTTTTGGCTCACGTCAACGGCTGCGGTTATTGAGGGTCTAAGATCTAACCCGAAACATGACTTGTATTCGAACAAAGTCATACTTTTCCTTTACCAACTGAGCTATATACCAAAATTATTCATCCATGATATTGCTCCTCAATACAATTGTTTGTTGTTTAATGATCAAGTATTTTCAAAATTAGAAAGATGATTTGAATATTCATATAAGAATAATTAAAGATTGCTTTACTTTTTATTTCTTTTTTTTTAAGTATAACATTTTTTATTAACCTGGATATCCAATCCGCTATGCAAGCCAACTAATCCCAAAACGATCGCCTGCTTTGCAGATAGCCCGGAGTTACCGCATTTGAACCTCCGTGGCCACAAGAAGATTTTTGTTCCTCCTTGGATTTGAACCTGGGACCTCCTGTCACTTTTGACCTTTAGAACCAAGTTCAAACCAATCAGGCACCACCCTTGTTTTAGAAGTATTAGATTTCTCGTTTAAGATTAACTGTTTAATCTATTTTGCATAGTGATGCAACAATTGTCTCTAACAATATCACATAAGTAATAAGTATATGATTAATCAGTATTCTAACTTTTAATTTAATTAAATAAAAATAATGGATATGTCTGGAAAAAAAAAACCCCTTATTAAATTAAATTACATATTTGAATAAGGAAAAAAATCTGAGCAAACTTTGATTATTCCAGTAGATGTCTTGAACACAATCGAATGAGGTGTTTAAATCTGCTACAGACTTTGGTTGACTTGACTTGAAGCAAGAAGTTATTTTTGTAATGTTTGACAAATTTCATTTTTGATTTTCTAATTAGATTTCAAAACATGTAAGGAGTTTGCAATTATGTCGATATATAAAATTACTTAACAGTATTTAAACAACAAACTCATACGATTGTTTCTAATGCCTCGTTCCCGGTTCCATTGGGTGCTTCTAAGTTCGACATAGTAGAAGATGAGAGGAAGCGAACGCAAATGTGCACAAGGACCACTAATCAAAAATCATAAGCCAAATGCTATATGTACAAGATGCTATGAGGATTTACAGAGCTGCTGAAAAAACAAAGATTCGAAGATTTGTAAAGTGGGTTATCTTCGATTTACAAAAAAGATGAATCTATACCTACTGTAGTCCATTTTGAAATACTACTACTATCCTCCAGAAACAAGAAGTCGAACTTAAATTACATGCACCTGCTTCCTTGAGCCATTTGCGACCTAACAGAGAGAAGGCATACAACGTACCGAGGGTCAGAAGAACACACAAATTAATCTAAAAACAAGTCGCATTCCCATTATATTCAATCTTCAGACGATCTTTAAGATCATACTAGAAGTTGGCATGCTACATAGAAGATCTTGAATAATTATAAAATGCCCAACTAAAAGAAAATAGAATTAATGAGCTTCCGAATCCGATACTACAAAAAACAATTAGTAACAATCATCGCAATGGCAAATTAGTAAAGCTTTTATAAACATCATGTAAAGTCTAAGCTACGCATGCTGTGCAATGTTTCTGTAAAACAGCCGTGCTTTTAATATAGACCCTTTACACGCAACACCTATTGCTCTAAAACCAAACCAAATCATGCAGAGATAGGGTCTGGCGGTGGGATGTAAGAAAGGAGCAGAGACATTGTTTCCACAAAGACCCCTCCTTGCTCCCACTACTAGAAACTAATTAAGAAACAAGGTAATCGAACCAGCAAGTAATGGGCATGCGATGGTTGGTTGCTTATAGTGCATTATACCTGATAAAAGCAACATGTTTTTACTATGATTATTACCTTTTTAGGCACCTGGTACATCTCTTGTCCCATGCTGCCTTCTTACAGTCCTTGGCTGGCGAGGAAATGTGAAAGGGCCACCTTGCCGTTTGCTATTACTCATGTGACCAGATTCTTTAACGTCCCCACTCGGACGCGATAAACCTGCAAAGACAAAATAGTTAAATTTTTACAAGTAAAAAAAACTATAGCACCCTGAACGTCTGAAGCTAGTTTAAATGGAAACTAAGGGAATATATAGTAGAAAATTATCATACTAACGAGCAGATAATGTTCCGGAAGAACCCAAGGAACTTAAGTACCTAAAAGAACCACATAGTTTTATTCTGTGCTACTAGAAGAATACTGAATCCACATGTTTGAAGAATTTCAGTGACATTGAAGGATCATAACTGGTGTAACCTAATTCGTAGGACAGGCATGGTGTATGTGGTTATTTAAGTACATTCATGTGCTGTGCATAAAAATACATTTTTCGCAGAATTAAATAAGATATGGTAACATATTTTAATATCACAGAAGACAGGAAGGGACTGAATAAAGATCACAATTATTTGAGGAGGCCTAAAGAAGTCATACCAGCTGGAAGTACAGCATCTCCCGAGTGCATAACAGGCGTTTCGGGATTAGCAGTGAGTGAACTAGAACTACCATTGGGTGGGCCAAGTAAGGGGACTCCTGTTGGAGAAACCATATCATCGTTCTCTTCTTCTGAATCACTAAGAACAATGACACTTGGATCTCCAAGTGACGAAGAAGAACTTCTGTTGGTGATTCCAGATGTTTGGTTATAGTTGTATGGCACAGACTCCATCATGCTGTCTTTGTTCGTTGTGATATCAAATTGGTTAGTACCATGATGGTTGATACTTTCAAACTCATCTTCTTTCATATTGTCAGAAGAACCACTGCTCATTGATATTATCTCTTGCCCATAGTTTGTAATAAATTCTTCCGACTGATTTCCCAGAGGTAAACCAACATCTGATACTCCATGCCCATTTGCATGGTGTTCACTTTTTCCAGCAGGAACTTCCATATTTGAATCGACTTTAACTTCAGATATACACAATGATCCATCTGCAAGGTGCCATCGTTCAAGATCCATAAAAGGGCGTCCAATCTTTGCACGCCACGAACCATCAGACTTCACATCAATCTCAGTTACATCTTCGACACAATGTTGCATCTTTCACACAGAGTAATAAAGAAAACAAAATCAGGTGCCTTTAAATTTAGAATCAACACAACTTGAACAGTATGAACAAGGAAGCAAGGACGAAAATACCATCTTCACAATACGATTTAAATAGGGGTCGATGATAATGTCCTCCAAGGAATAGTTCCTTAGGCAAATGGGGCATTGCCACTGCAAATAAAAAGATTTCTCTTATGCAAATTACGTAAAGAAAAGTAAGTCTAGCACAGAACAGTTATGTATGGTAAGAACTTGCCTTTCTAGACCGCTGGTTGATTTGAACAAAAGTTTGGAGATCAAAACATCCAAGGTGAACGCATCCTTTAAATCTAGCAGCAGTTTTCATTCTACACCCACTCATCTGTCATTGGTATCAACAAAAGGCAGAAACATTATAAAAACCACCACACACATTTAAGTTAAGGCAATTGCTTGATGGTTTCACCAGTGAACTACTAGCACCACCAAATAACCTAATCATGCATGATACAGACCATTAAGAAAACTTGAAACTGGGTTGACAACTGGATACACAAAGTTCCAAGTTCAACAGAAGAATAGACAATCAAAAAACATATTACTCATCGTTCTGCTTAAGTGCAAAAGCATCATGAAGAAAAAGACAGCACAGTAACTAAGCGTCATCACGTAAGGTTGGGTTGGCCTTGTACCAAACAAATGAAACAAAGACGTGCATGAATAATTACAAAAGCAATGGCTGAACTCACATTAAAGACCTAATACTGTACAAGGGCACCAGAAGGTCAACAATTTGATCCACCATAACAACCTATTCGCAAATACAGTAGGAACTGATGCATCCCCTCCCAAGAGAAAGAGGTCCTTGATACAACAAATGGATAAAGTACAAACCACTCTAGAATATTAAGCCCCGAATCTGCTAAACGGGTATTCACAATTTTAGCTGTAAATCAGGCCAAAATGAATGAAAAGGTAATCCCTGTATCTTACCTAAGTCGGCACAATTATCTACTAATCCAGAAAGAAAAGTGCAAGAAGGAATATTTGGGGGGGAAATGAAAGCACATCAAATGATTCTACAAAAAATGCCTTATAGAAGTGAAACTCATGATCCTTTATCAATCTCATCTCAGATATTTGTGGTTCAAGTGTTGGTTAAGGTACAGTTTGCATGACCTTACCCGCTGATACCAGGGAAGTCAAAAGTCAAAAGGGCTCAGTCAAAAGGGCTCACCCCTCTGCCGCCGGCCGCCATAACCCCCAACAAATTAAAGTAAAAGTTCGAGGAAACCCCAATTTCCATGCTACTCTCCAAATACACATTGTGAATTGAGCTACTTGCATTTATTCCATTTAGTATTTAATATAATTGTGATACTAAGTCATTGATTTATCTATGTTAATGTCTTATTATTCATATATATTTACTTCTATGCAATCACAAATGTGATTAATTGAAAAAATGAGAGCGGGAAACTGTTAAAGTTATCACAGGTTGGCTAACAATTAATGGACCCAATGGATTAGGCATGCTCTGCCAGTAAGAGCAAGTTGGTTAAGTGGCACTGTGCTTGTAACCACCTGTTGCCTTCCAAATTCTTTTGGCATATAACCAGCAAGTGAGAGAAAGATAGAGGAGCTTGTGTTCAGTGCAACTGTTAAGCTTTTCTTATTAAAGTATTACTCTGGTTTGCTAATGGCATAAGGCAAAACATAACTGGAATAATCCCAACAAACAAATAACGAGCACCACGCTGTCCATGCATCAAACAAGTCAAGAATTAATCACCATGCCAAGGAGGTTTGGAAGCACTTACAGGGCAACGCAGATTAACTGTGACATTGTCTGCAATAACTTCCAAATCACTGTCACTATCATCATTTGCAGAAGCCATTCCACCAATGCAACGACAAACACGGGCAACAGCATCAGTAAAGGATTCACCTTCTTGTTCACCGGGAATCATGTTGATAACCTAGCAAGGAAGTGGGCAAAAAACTAAGAGGGTATGAAAGTAGAAGGAAATCAGATGTGAAAGCAAGCACCTGATACTAAATAAATCAGATCACAACAATCGTATGATTGTCATCAATATTCGGATATCTTTACATGGAAGAACTCATGCAGTTGAGTTATGGTTACTATATACAAAAAGAGAACACAAGAGGATGAGATACCAAGCTAAAGAATTGAAAACCGTCATTATATGGAGCCAATTAGTTGTCTTAACTAGACATAGAAATAAAAGCATTGTAAATAATATGTACTTCAAAGCAAGTAACTGTTTCTTGATGATTAAAAATTCTGAAGATAACCACAGGGGAACATATGAAAAAAAAAGCAGAATAAAATCCTAGAAAGTGACAAGTTCTGCAGCATGTTAAGTATCTACCCATACAAAGAAAACTGGAAGATAAAAGGCTAGAATAGATTATTAGCCCCCAAACACAACATAGGAAGAATAGCAAGATATGGCACATCAAAAGAGAACAACCAGTCCCCCAGTTTATTAAATAATTACCTCTGATCATAATTTCATTGTTTCCACCAAGTAACAGTAAGAATTGATATCAAATGCAAAATAGGTGAAGATACCTGATGAACTGTGCGTTGCTTCACTAGTCTGACACCCAAGCAAAAAGTTCGAGCATCAGAACCACATAAAGAGATCTGGTTACATCCCTCCACTAGAAACAACGAGATCTGAAACGAAAAAAGAATGCAGAAAAGAATTAGCACTGACGTCATTGATGCAATCCCCATGCCAATTTGATCCTATTTCCATTAGTTCCTACTTCCCTTCTTTAGTTATTTTCTTAGGTGGGAGAAGGCACATTATGTATACATACAGATTACACAGAAGAAGAGGTTATGGGGGTGGGGTCGTCCAAAAAAATTCAGATGTATTAAAGAGGGTAAACATGCCATGGATAAATATATCTTCTCATGTAGAAATAACAGATTCCACCATCTACTGTTTGCACCATGTCACAAAGTTTTTGCAGTTCAGAGGAAAAAAAGAATTAATATGAGGGTGTGTGATAGGTTCCTAGCAGAAGTCTAAATTCAGTGTTGCCTTCCTTCTTTATCACAGCTCTGTAGCAAAGAAAAAACTTTAACAGTGTAAAAATGAACATTGCAGATCTTAATGCAAAGCCAACCAATGAAAATATAAATGTCAAAATAAAAGAACTTACCGATGGACCATCATCACGACCATTGGCTCCAAGCATCTTTGATCCAGGTCTATTGATCGTCTTAACAGGGATGCCTGGAAAATCCATGACTTATTAGAAATCAGTACATTATAAGTAGAGTTCACTATCATGATTCTCAATCCACCATCACATTATCCCTGAACTGACCAAGCATTAGTGTCCATAGACCTGTGCATACATGCCTCGTATGAACTGACCGAGCATTAAAAGTATGTAAAGGATGATACTACACTCAACTTCCACATAATGTGGTACGGAAAAAAACATCTGAATCATTTAAATCAGCAGAAAAAAAGAGAACTGCATCCAAACATTGAGCTAACAAGGTAATAAATGTAAGATGTGGAAGTACCAAATGAACTGCAAGTTACATAAAAATGGATGTTATATAGATGCAGAGTATGGTCTATACAAGATGAAATACAAATGTATAAGCATTCCAGAGATGAAATACAAATGTATAAGCATTCCAGAGATGAAAATATGATGAAATTTGCTTTAGAGCCTAATTATGATCCTAATTCTTACACTTAGCATGAGGTATCTTTGAAGACAAAAATTTGTAGAAAAGACTCTGAAATGAAGCTGTTATCAAAAAGCTGAAGAACAAATGGATATTCGATATTCATCTTATTATCATAGGGCATTGTCGTCCTAGTATTCTTGAAACTGGAAAGCTAACAAGAAGTGGCGGGTGGTTCAGTTGGTTATCACCGACATCCTGGCTCATGAGCAGATAAGCTAAATAAAACCAACAGGCTCATAAAGAGCAGTAAAAAGTACAGACATTTTCCACAATACCACAGCCTTGGTGGTTCAGTTATGATACATAAACACTGATTGGAATAAGGAAGGTTCTATTGACAAGGTAGAGCAGGATTACCAGATTCCCCATGCTTTTCTGTTAAAATTTATCATTTTCTGTGTTTCATGCATCCTCATGCTAGTATTAGTATACTCAACAGTTGCATAACAGGTAAAAAATTGTTCATTGCATGTGCACACAATAGATATCGCGAGTCTCTATTGTCAAAACATCAATTCGACATACACATGTTAGAACTTGAACCAGATATGAAGATATCTCAACTTAAGAGAAAAATGTCTAAAGAGATGAATAGAAGAGCTCATATTCTAAAGTATGAAGACATAACTACATCTTTTTTAAATTTCAGCAACAGTTCACCACAAAAGTAGACTGAAGCTTCATGTAGCCACAAGAGTGAAATAAGCTAACAAAGAAAAGATCAACTATATCATTTCAGTATGACATATTTCCCTTGAAAGATATAAATCAAATATCGGGCTCCACTTCGAAGCCCATTACAATTTAAAACTGTAAATATGCAACATAAAAATCAAATAGTCCATGATAATGACAAAAGCCAACATACCATTGACTCTTAGATCAGGATATTGTGGCCATTGCATCCTGAATGGAACACTATCATTGAGAAGAATGCACCACGCCTGCTCAAGAGAAGCAACACAAACTTAAAAAGATCTATCAACCCCAAACACAGGATCATGGACTACCAATAATGAACGCTTCCATTTGAAGCTGTGATGAAACAAATCCCACCTGTACATCGTATCCTGCATTCTCCAGCATATGTACATTTGCTCTTGTAATTTGGAAGCTTGTTTCCACATTCTGTAGTGGCTGTGAACTACGAAATACCAATACGGGATTAAAATAAAACATATGAAAAATTTAAGATCCAAGTAAAATATGTAAATCCTAGAAACTATAACAAGAGACAATGTGCATGATGTTATGGAATATTAAATGTCACCAGAAAATCTGATCGAATCACTGTCTGAGGATCAAATTACCTATGCACAGACCACATACCAGTTTAGGACCCAAAGATAAGTGAACAGTGTTATGCCTTATGATGAGATTGACAGTAAGGTTGCTGGAAAGAGATGTTAGCCAAGGTGTTTTCATAAACAAGATTTAACAACGCATATAACCAGATCCAACTAAAGACGCATATGCAGCAAGATCACTGCCAACTAAGCTAACCAGGCCAGATAATCCGACACTGGATCCTCCAGATCATGAATCTGACCACCTCTCAACTCTATCAAATTAATATGTGCTTCCAAAACCACAACTCTATCCAGCCACCTCCTACCCAAACCATTATCCAAAATTAAAGAACAGAGATCAAACTGTAGCAAAGAGACTAAAATGACTTCACTTAATTGACCAGATTAATTAAAGCAAGCAAGCAAGCAAGCAATAAAATAGCAGGAATTTATAAAACACCGTAAAACCAGTATATGATACTTTCTAGTCCCTGTTATCAAGGCATCCAATCCTACAAATTAGATCAATTTATTGTAACTGTCTTACAAGAAGAAAAACTGTCAGTCAATGTGCTAGTATCCCAAGAACGGAAGTGTCAGCATTCAAAAATGATAATATACATATGATAACGGAAAATCCAAAATGGGACAGCTACAGATAGATTAAAAGCCCAATCCTTCACATCTTAATAATGTCATGGAAATGCCTAACAGATCACGTCAAATGCAAAGGAAAATAAAAACTTGGATTGCTATTTAGCCATTGGCACAAAGAGAGGGCCAATTTACAGGACATACGAGATCCGAACTTTATCATATTTGGATAGTGTAGTAAATGTGTCTTCTTGTTAAATAGATAAATATCAAAGGATTGGCCTTGTTATACAAACTGACTCAGGCTGGACTATGAAAAATGGTAAAAGCATGCATAAACTAGAGAAAGAAATTAATTTGTGACTCTGATATAAATCGTCATTATATATACTACACTGCTTTAACATGATAACAATATATCTGTGCAGATTTCTACCATTATATACAGTTGTTTTGCGAACTTTAAAATTCTAAAAAGCTAATCAAAAGATAAGTCCAGTTAAAAATCTATCAAAACCATATAGAATATATTATTCGTTAGACAGCCAGTTCGGCCAGTAAATATTAGTGTTTGATCAAATGCTAGTTTCTAGGGATGGCAAAAAAAACCGAAACCGAGGGTGAAAACTGAAATTTTCGGGCCGGATTCGAGGACGTCTTTTTGGGAACGGGACGGGGATCGGGGACAAACACGAGGATAGGGAGGGCCATCACCAGTCCGGCGCGGCCCGATATATATAGATATAGATATGTATATATAAGAAACAAAATCTATCCCTAAAGGCTAAAAGACTAAACCCTTTTACCCACTGAAATACCCCTTTCTTCATCTCTCTCTACCGACTCTCTGAAGTGACATCCCAAAACCCTCCATCTTTATCCTTCCCATCAATCTACACTACCACTACAAACTACCAAGTGCTTTGAAAATTTGAGTTTCTTCTTCAAGTGCTCAAAGTTAGTTAGACTCTCACAATTCAAAACTATTTGATTATTACTTTGAGTCTTTGATCTTTCCTTCCCAATCAATCTTTTTGTTTTGAGGAAGCATGCAAATATAAAGAAATCCATTTTTGTAGTATTTGGACTGCGGATCCAAAAAATTCAAAAATATTTATTGCAAAAGCTTTCAAACTGTGGATCTAATTATTTTTCAAAATGTTTGTTGCAAAAGCTTTCAAAGTGTGAATCCTGATTTTTTCAAAATGTTTGTTGCAAAAGCTTTCAAAGTGTGGATCCTGATTCTTTCAAAATGTTTATTGCTAAATTTCTTTCTTGTTTTTATGAACATTGAACACAATATGTTGGAAAAAAGCTCCAAACAAGAAAAAGTCAAAGTTGGAAATTTCTCCAGTGTTTGCTTATATATCTATATTTTTCGGTTAAATTAACTGTGTTTAAGTTGCTTGGCATTAACTCGTTGCTGATTGTATTTGTTGGTAACGGTCAAAGGATTATATGTTTGGTCAATTAAGTGGTTGAGTTGCATGATTAGCATCTTATTTATTTAGTTTTAGCGTAATGTAATTTTTTTGGAGACGGTTTTGGTTTCAAGTTTGGGTATAACCAACAGGGAACGGGGATTATTACCCTTAACGGGTTCCCCAACAGGAATCGTGGAAAATGTGGGGACCCGATGGGATCCCCGACAAGGATCGGGACGATTACGGGAATGGTTTTGGTTACCGGTTTCGAAGACGAAGATAGCAACAACAGGCCAAAACCCGGCCCGTTGGTGTTCCTACTAGTTTCTTACTCAAGGATCTAAAAAATGAGTAAACAAATATGGTCAGATTGGTCAAGAAAAACTTAATGTAACAAACCCAGAGATCATGCCCATTAGCCAACTTCCTTCACTCTTCTCTTACTTTACATTTCAAAGTTCATTTACTCAAAGGGATCTATAACTGTAATGGCATCATAATTTTTATCAACATCTTTCCTGTGGAAACTGCAAACCTAAATTAGAGGCATGACTATTATACTTCAATTTAAGGCATTATGACTCTTGAGAAATTAGAGAAAGCTATGTAGAGAGAATTGCAAGAATCTTATTTACGAATTGAGACTAGAGTTTACAAAATGAGGATACCCAACTATTTATAGGTAACAGTCAAGATATGCCAAACAAAAAAATAAAACTAACTAATTCAATTAAAGCCACATCTAACAAATCTCCACATTGGCTTTAATTCTAGTATTCCCCGGATTAGCCATGTAACGAGAAACACACTAACAGCATGAGCTATGTCAGGTCTAGTGCAGACCATGACATACATAAGACTTCCTACAGCATTAGAATAAGGAACTTTGCTCATATACTCCACCTCAGCCTCTGTTTGAGGTGCCAAAGCCACTGATAGTCTGAATTTGCCGATGAAGGTGTGCTCACAGGCTTTGCAGAAGCCATACCAAATCAAGAAAGTATCTTCAAAATGTAACTTCACTGTGACAAGAAAAGTTTACATCTAGATCTATCTCGGATAATCTCCATACCGAGAATCTATGCTGTTAATATCGCGATATATCGTCGATATATCGGATATCGGACCTAGATAAAATATCGCTGCATAAATATCGGTCAAAATATCGTCCCCGATATTATCGGCGATATTTCCCCATTTTTAGCGATATTTTCCGATTTTTCCCGATTTTTAGCGATATTTTGATGTATATATCGGACCGATATATCGATTTTTTAGGGTTTAATTATTTGGGCTTTTGTTATTTCATGGGCTTAATTTTTTGGGCTTGGTAACATATATTAGGTCTGAAATTAATAGTTTGCCTTCCACAACGGTCTTCTTCCTTTCTTTTATCTTTACGACTTCACAGACACCTAGTTCCTTCACGAATCACGACTTCGACTTCACACAACTTCAGACTTCTCACGGAGTCACGGTTTGGCTTCTTTTCTCGGTCTCTCTTCTCGATCTCCTTTGCTTACCAAGTTGCTACAGCCACAGCAGCAACCGGCAGCAACTGTAATCGACAGCAACAGCAGCCAGCAACAGCAATCGACAGCAACAAATCTCTTAAGGATAGCAAGTCTTCAAATCCTATTTTCTTGAGAGATGTTGAAGAAAATGATGATTGGAGAGGCGCTACAAATCTCTTAAGGATAGCAAGTCTTCAAATCCTATTTTCTTGAGAGATGTTGAAGAAAATGATGATTGGGTGGTTCCAACCGACGTTGAGCTCCAAGAGTTTGTTGATGCAAGAGATGGCCTCCTTTGGTCGGATGTACGAGAAGCAATGGGAGGTAATGAAGAAGTTGGACCAAGTACAAGAAGTAAAAGGGAGCGCTATAGAGATGATCATCATCATCATCATGTTGGAGATGAAAGGGAAGAAGAGGAAGATTGGAAAGCTAAACTATATTTCTAAACTCTAATTAATGCATATTATATATATAATTCTAATAAATTTTGAAACTATATTTCTAAACTCTAATTAAACTATATCACCGATACATCGAATATCGGTCCTGACTGATACTTTGTATTCTAACCGATATAACAGCATACCCGAGAATCTTTCGAACCACCCCCAAATCTTTCATGTCAAACTCGGAATTAAGGAGTCTTTTTAACTTCTTAATTTTAGCCATATCACAAGCCGCTACTAACATATCGTCCACATAAAGTAGCAGATACATGTGACCCATCAACATTTTTCTTATGATATATACAACAATCACAAGGGCTTCTAGTAAATCCATGACACACCATAAAATTGTCAAAACGTTTATACCACTGTCTTGGAGACTGATTTAACCCATAAAGCGATTTCTTGAGCTTACAAACATAGTTTTCTTTACCTTGAGCTACAAAACCCTCCGGTTGACTCATATAGATTTCCTCTTCAAGCTCACCATGTAAGAAAGCCGTTTTGACGTCTAATTTCCAACTCCAAATTTGCTTGTGCTACTAGTGCCAACAAGTCAACAACACCCGAATGGATGTATGACGCACCATTGGCGAGAAAATTTCATTATAATCAACCCCTTGCTCTTGGCTATAACCTCTAGCCACCAAATGTGCCTTGTATCTCACACTTTCAGCTCCTAGCAGCCCCGTTTTTCGCTTAAAGATCCACTTACAGGTCACAACTTTTCTGCCTTCAAGTAACTTTACTAACTCCCAAGTTCTATTCTTGTGAAAGGATCCAATCTCTTCACTCATGGCTGCTATCCACACATCAGCCTCCTTCGTTGTGATTGCTTCTTTGTAAGTAGATGGCTCAAAAAAACTCCATTTCTTCAGCAACTTGCAGAGGATAGGCCACCATGTCATCAAAACCATATCGAATTGGCCTACCAACTTGTCTTCGAGGCTTATCTAATGCCAGAGATCGAAATTCAGCAAATTGGTGTTGATTTTCAGGCACAACAGGTTCTGGTTGAGGCGAGTTACTGAGTTGTCCAGCAGTATTCTCCTCTTCATCGGGACCATGTAACTCGTACTCCACCTGTTTGGACACACTCTCCTCTTGAACACTTGGAGTGGACGAACACCTCATGCCACGTAACATACTCTCCTCATCAAACACTACGTCATGGCTGATAATCACCTTTCTTTTATCAAGAGACCAAATTTTGTAGCCCTTCACTCCAATTCCGTATCCYATAAACAAGCCCTTCTTTGATCTTGGTTCCAATTTTCCTTCACTAACATGGTAGTATGAAGGACAACCAAATAATCTTATAAGCCYGTGTAATCAGCCGGCTTACCGGACGACACCTCAATAGGAGTTTTACAATCTATTGCCATTGCCAGGGATCTATCCACCAAGTAGCAAACCATGTTTAACGCTTCTGCCCAAAAACTTCTATTCAACCCAGCATTTGACAGCACACATCTCACTCTTTCCAGCAGCGTTTTATTCATCCTTTCGGTTACTCCATTATTCTGTGGAGTGTGCCTAACCATTCGATGCCTTGCAATTCCGTCATCTTTACAAAACCGATCAAACTCACTTGAACAAAACTCCAATGCGTTGTCCGTTCGTTGCTGCTTTATCTTCTTCCCAACTTGATTTTCAATGAGAACTTTCCAATCCTTAAACTTCTCAAATGACTTACTCTTATGCTTCATGACGAATACCCAAGTCATCCTAGAGTAGTCGTCAATAATTGAGAGGAAGCAACGACCACCACCAAGTGAAGGAACTTGCAAGGGACCCCAATAATGAGTGTGTAGATAATCTAAAGTCAACTTGGTTGTATGGACAACTTTTGAGAAACTTACTCTCCTTTGTTTTCCAGAGATGCAATGCTCACAAAAGCCCAATTCAGCAACTCTATGACCTCCAAGAAGTCCTTTCTTGCTGAGAATTACCATGCCTTTCTCACTAACATGCCCTAGCCTCGTGCCACAAACGTGTCAAATCTGACTCATCCTCTACAGAATTAATGGTTGGTGTTATTGATCCAACAACCGTGCTACCTTCCAGCACATACAAGGTACCTCTCTTGACTCCTTTCATCACTACTAATGCACCCTTAGTGACCCGAATTACTCCACCCACACCGGTGTACTTGAAGCCTTTTGAGTCGAACACTCCCAAAGAGATTAAGTTTTTCTTCAACCCGAGTACATGACAAACATCTGTTAGAGTCCTCACTGTCCCATCATGCAATTTAGTGCTCACCGATCCAATTCCAACAACATAGCACGACATGCCATTTCCCATCAAGACATTTCCGGTTGCAATCTTATCATAAGTGTTAAACCAATCCTTATGTGGTGTCATGTGAAAAGAACATGCGGATTCAAGAATCCATACCTCTGACTGACTTTTGGAATCAACCACCAAGAGCACCAAATCAGCCTCCGAACCTGAATCATCTTTTGCTACTGCAGCGGATCCTTTTGACTTCAGTTTTGGACACTCATTTTTCCAATGACCCGGTTCTTTACAATAGTGGCAGCTATCCCTCGGGTTTCCACTTGGACCTCTAGTCTTCGATCTTGATCGGCCTCTTATTTTCCATTTCCCTTTTCCTTTCTCTCGGCTTTTATCTCTACCTCTGTCCCTATCTAGGTTTATCATCGACAAGCCAACCGATTGAATTTCGGAACTACTTCCTAAAGCTTTATGTCGCAACTCTCGTGAGTGAAAACTTGAACAAACTTTTTCCATTGTAATTGTGTCTCTACCAACAACAAACGAGTTGACAAAATTTTCATATGCAGTGGGCAACGAAACCAATAAGATGAGGGAGGCACCTCATCTTCAATCTTGACTTCAACATTCTTCAAATCCATAAGAATGGAGTTTAACTCATCAAGTTGTTCCTTCAAAGGCATTCCCTCCTTCATTCATAATGAGAATAACCTTTACTTTAACAACTTGTTCGTTAAAGAATTGGTCATGTAGAGGCTCTCTAGTTTCTGCCATAAAGACGTAGCAGTCTCCTCATCAGCAACTTCATAAATCACCTCATCTGCCAAAGACAACAAGATGGTAGAGCAAGCCTTCTCATCTTGTTGTGCAAATTCAAATTCAGCCATCCCTTCAGGCCTTTCACTAGCCAAGGGAATCCAAATGCCTTGTTGTTTTAGGAGAGCTCTCATCTTTATTCTCCATAAGCTGAAGTTGTTCTTTCCAGTAAACTTGTTAATCTTGATCATTTGTGGAGGCACTTTCTGAAAATCTAGAAAGAACTATGGTACAAGATTCAATGTTGAGTAATCAAGAACAGAAATTCGGACTAATCTTCAAAAGAGTCGACAATTTCTTAATTGGCTGTTAGAAACCGATAATCCAAGAAATTGATCCCCAAAAACGATCATTCAAGAAATCAAGAACATCTGGTTGAATTGTCGGACACAAGTCGATACCACCAATTGAAACATTTCAACGACAAAATTGATTGAAGGACCGATAAACTGTTGCGACTTGATTGTTGATGCGATTTTCCTCAAATTGACTGTTGAAATCGTCAATTCACACCATCAATTTCAGAATCGGGAAAACTCCACCTTGAATCGAACACCAGAAAGATCCAATCGATTGTCCACAGAAAGACGATTAATGAAAGCGAGCGATTCAAAAGAAAAAAAGGCGATTGAGGGGATCAACGATCAGCAATTGGAAGGAACCCTAGGCTCTGATACCAATTTGTTGAGAAATTAGAGAAAGCCATGTAGAGAGAATTGCAGGAATCTTATTTACAAATTGAGACTAGACTTTACAAAATGAGGATACCCAACTATTTATAGGTAATAGTCAAAATATGCCAAACAGAAAAATAAAACTAACTAATTCAATTAAAGCCACATCTAACGATGACAAACATTAGTTACCAATTTATTTAAGCTACATGAATATGAAATCATTAATAGTCGGACAATGAGGCGATAAAAGCGAATAACTTACCCATCATCTGGAGTACTTGAGACAAGGAGCTTCACAGGATCTAAAGGGTGTGCCAAAGTCTTCCAAAATCTAAGCAGATATATTTGCAAAATAGAATTAGAAACCACGTCAACTAATCCACCTTAGCATGAAAAGACAATAACAAAACTAATGAGCTAGCACATATAAAGATTTCCCTCAACAACAAAAATTACACAATTACTGAAAGTAAATCAAAATTCTTACACCAAATCAATCATTTTATGGAGTCAGTCCATTGATAAACCCCTCTTCATGCATAATTCTCTAATACTCTTAGAAGGTTTATCGATTTATTGCCCAAGTTCATTCGATTTCAGATACTTTTTTGAATCATTTGAGTGCTTGGCACTAAAATGCAATGTGGAGAAAAAGGGGAGTAAGTTTGTAATTATTTTCAGATATCATCTTTAAGAGACCAGTCTTTATTTTGGACATAACACTCGGACTCAATATCTAAATCACTTGATTCTCAAATCATGTATTTATAGCTATGTCCATGTCAATAAGAAGAAAGTTACATCTCAAGTCATGCAATGTGATCTTCCAGCCAAAGAAATTCTGAATTTTGCTATGTTTTAATATATTTTTGGTGTTTCTCCAAAGTTTTCTTAAGATCTTCTAATTCTAATCAAATAGATCTTCATTTTAGATCATTTCCTTGTCTTAAAGTCTTCCCTCACTATATAATTTCAACATATTCCTAATCCTAGTAGAACTACATGTTCCTTGGACACTATATATACATAAGATATACCATAAATTATACATTCATCCATAATACATTATTCCACACATACTTTTGGTCCCTTAACCCCTTCTTCATCTAATTAACGACTTGATGGCTTTGAAGCCATTATTGATTGCAAGGAGGTGCTATTCAAATCCGGATCGCTTGAAAGGCATTTCAATAGTTCAATTATTTGTGCCGTATAATTTTGCTAAGGATGATATTTCTCAAAGCTCCTAAGTTATTCGGTGTTCAACTATTATTATGCAAATACCATTAATTGTAGGGGATGATGTAGCTTAATACCCTTAGGCCAATTTTAGGTTGCACAATATTTGTTTATTTTCCAGAGCATGTTTGTTTTATATGTTTTTTTATTGCTTTGATTGATGTGTTGAACATAGATAGGTGAATCAGAACTTCCCTGTATGGACTCATAGTGATGGTTATGTTCATCGCATTTGTTGTCTTGTTGAGAAAGTACAATTTATCTTCTAAATAGACTAACTTGCTACAAATCAAATATGATTACCAAGCAATATGGAACCTTAGAAAATTTTTGTGGCACATTTATCATATGTATATCTAGTTAGCATACTTAATAGCAAGCCAATTCATCATCTCCATCATCTATATGCATCTTAGTTTGAATTAAACTAAGGCTACAAGTGGGTACGTGAAGATTTGAGGTTCAAGGATTATTAATATAAACTCTACCTTGATACAAAGGAAGTTTGGCAATATGAAATTCCACCATCTGATGCATAATAAAAAATTAACATTTTCAACCAGAGTTCAAAAGTAATCAAGTCCAAGTGAAACTCTAGCACTAATTTACTTTTCAGCATCCTTATGAATTAGTATGTAATTTTGTAGTATTTTTGTTTCTAACATTGTGAGATTGGTTAAGTTAATTGAGTGATACAATTGTTGTGGCATCAAACTTCATTTATCACTTTATTACATGGCAGCAATTGGTGTTGTTGCATGGTATAAGAATCACGCATCATCCTTTCTCCTAAAAACATCAAAATATGTTATTTGCATCAAGTAATCACATTACAAGGTACACTAATCAAGTATTTAACAAACTGAATTTGCTGAACTATTGGTAGAAGAAATCATTGAAACCAACAAGCACATTTATCCAAAATAATTGGAGATAATAAAATTAAAGTGACAAGAAATTATCAACACATCAACTGTGGCTCCGAAACATGAGTAGCATCATTCGAGGCACTCCTAGTTAAAGCCAACTCCTTTGGTATATTCCACTTGATTCTCTAGTTCATATTATGTCAGTCTTGGCTGGAATCTACCTCTCAAATGTCCTGTTATTGGTACAACTTACAAGCATCCTCATCTGACTTGCACATCCTTTACTCTAGTTTCAAGATGACCAAATCACCCCCGCATTGTTGTGTCAGCATCTCCTCAACTAATCCACCTAAGCCTCCCACATATCATTCTTTCCAATCCTATTCCCCATTGTGTCGCCACACATCCATCTTACCATTCTCAGTTCTGTCACATTATTCTTGTATTCATGATGACTTTTGGTGGCTCAACAATTTACCCAATAAATCTTGATCAGTATGATTATAGTCCTACAGAACTTAGCATCAAACTTCAATGAAAGTTTCAAATCACATATTACCGAAGTGTGTCATCATTTCATCCAATCCCACTTTTATCCTATAACTAACATATATGTCTTAAATAATGAAATGCATTCTTCATGATTACTTCCGGTGTGAAATATTTACATCTTTCCTTCTCTATCAATAGGGCTGTAAACGAACCGAACGTTCAGCGAGCTGTTCGTGAACCGTTCGGCGGCAAGTTCGTTTATTTAATAAATGAATGAACATGAACAATTTTTTTGGTTCGTGTAGTTAAACGAACGAACATGAACAAGACTCTCGTTCGTTCATTTATGTTCATGAACGTTCGTTTATGTTTATTTATATTCGTTCGTTTATGTTCGTTTATATATGAAATTTAATACACAATCTTTTATTTATTTAGTTTGAATTCAAATAATATTTATTTAAGTTTTAACTTTTTAAAATTTATTTATATTTGAATTTTATCATCATTTTGTCTTATTTGAAATTTTTACCTTTTTAGTTTCCCCCCAAAACCCTAGCCTCCAGATAATTGGTGCGTAATAGTTAATTGAATGACAAGATAAGGTGTTGGTTTGTTTATGTGATACGAATCAATTTGGCAAAATCAAGACTAGCAGCCAAACGTACCGCTAATCGGATGCTTACGGATAAATCCTGGAATTCAAGAACCAAGGAATCTCCAATGTCAAACGACAATAATAAAATATCTGATTGAATCCAATAATGGGGTGGTCGGTCCCCTAAATAAAGTCGTACCTTAATCCAACAAAATAGGAAAACATATTTATCCTAATAAACTAATTAATATCTATCCTAATCAACTAATTAATTAAGAATAAGTAAATTGCAAACAACCCCTCTGGGTCGGGCTGAGCCGTATCATTATGTTCGTTTAGGCCTGTTCGTTTATGTTCGTTTAGACCTGTTTGTTTACGTTCGTTTAGCCCATTCGTTTGCGTTCATCTAGCATGTTAACGAACGGACATAAACGGACATGAACACACCTGCTTTCTAAACGAACGAACACAAAGATTTTCGTTCGTTTAGTGTTCGTGTTTGTTCGTTTGTTCGGTTAAGTTAAACGAAGAACATGAACAAGCCTCTATTCGTGTTCGTTCGGTTCGTTTACAACCCTATCTATCAATGCTGCAAAGTTGCATTTGTGGGAGAAGGTATGATCTCAATAACCAGTAATGGCACGTGTGCATTCAATAAGGCGTTTGTAAGTGAGTGAGTGTGCCTGTGTGTGAACATATGTCTCTCTCTGTGTGAATAAAAACAAATGTTCCATTTGTCAACTCCCAAACAGCATAAACTTGAGTTGAGTCCCATGTATGATAACCACAACCTAAATGAGGTTCCTCCCATCCCCAATTTTGTGTAAGATGATTCCTTTTAACACATCAACAAGCACACCCATTCCTTTGTCTTAGGAACTCAAAGAAATTCAATTGACCCTACACCTAAACTCAATCTTAACTATGCTGAAACACCTTAGACATCCATCCATATACAAGTGGTTGCATTTTCAATGTTCGCCATTCTTATCTATGTTCAGTTTGGTTTTTCTCAAAACTTGAACTTACCTTTGATCCTGTAGTTACTATTAAATGTGTCACTTAAGGTGCATGTTGTTACACTACCACCACATCAGATGTATCATTGAAGTTTCATATTTCCTAGATCTACCACATATCCACGTTAACAATCTTACCCCAGCCATAGTCACGTAGGTCCACATTTGTTGTTAGGTATTACATAGCATCAGTGTGGTTCTCGAGGTAGAATAATTGAATATAGCTTGTCATATTCTCAGTGCCAGTGAACACCAAGTGCAATGCAACGATAACCAATGTTGATTGGATTTATCATTGCTAACATCATCCTCAAAACATATTGAGAAAAACATTATGAAACAACCTACAAATTGGACCTTGTGATAAATGTAACTAAGACCCACCTAAGATTGGTCCTAAAGGAATGTCAAGCATCAAGCATATTATATAGGCAAAGTCATAACCAAGAAAGCAACTATGTTTCGCAAACCATATAAAATTCAAGAAAAATAACCACGTGCTTCAGATAAGCATAGGAGGACAGATAAATACGTACGGGTCACACCGGTTGATTCGACAAAGTTCACAATAATGTTGAGAGGGAGCATCTGGAACTCCCTCGGTAGACTCATCTAGGATAATCACACAGTGAATGTGTTGAAGAACATGACATTGTGGATCTGCACACTGGACAGAAATGACATCGACATAAGTAAAAATCATGATGTCAAATAACTAGTGTGACTCGGTGAGATATAAACAAAATGCAGAAATAATAAAAAACTGTTCATTAAATGGAAGCATAGAAAATATACCAACATGCAAGTTCACACCAAACATATGGGAAATAATCCTTTGTGACTAGCAATCGCAAAGCCTATTATACTCAACCAGATTTTAGTAGCCATTAAACTCAAATTTTATACCTCAACTCACTCAAGCAAATAGCTTAGTTGTAAAATAGACAGGACTATAAAGAAAACATTAAATTAACAAATCCTCTTCCAAACCATAGAAACTACAGTGTTAACTGTTAAGTTGTAGGGACCTAAGAAAAGAAACTTTAGCAAGCGCAATTGGAATATCTATTTGCATGCATTAACATCTTAGGAAATATGAACATTATTGACACCCATATAAATATCAATTGCTACTATTACAGTGCTTCGGACAATGACATATATGAATAGTCTAGTTCACTAATTTGAGCTCTAGCAACGTTCACAAATAATCTGTATTGACTTTTATCTGTGAATTGTATGCTTAAGCAATATAACACAATCAAATGACAGAAAAAAAAATTAAAACCTGTATACATAAGACAACTGAAAGACTACAAAGCTCATGGACAAACAAAAGAAAACAATACACTAAAAAACCTGAATCATGAACTCAGTTTTCAGTGGACTGCCGCAAGGACAACGAATTTTCTGATCAACAATTTCCTCTCTAGGTGTAATGCTGCTGCTGTCAGAGACACAATGTCCACCAGTTACTGGATCATTTGCCCCTGTAGGCTGCATTTTTCTGAAATAAAAAATAGATATAAATATGGTAAGAACAAATGATGTGAACATGTTTTATTGCAAGACAATGTGAGGGAAGGGAGTAATTTAGGATGAGACACAAGTTTAGGGGGTGAGGTATATAGGTAATAGGATAGAACATAAGAAGATATAAGTAAATAACATCGTCTTTATTTGTCATGTAATTTTATTTTCAAAGAATTCAAAGTTACAGAAAAACCATGATTGCCTGTCATGTCCATCAGGAAAAAAAATTGAAAAAGCTTACTTGTAAGTGTCATCAATTATTTTTGCCACGTCTTCCTTTCGAATAAATTTATTCTTTGGACCATGAATATCTGATGCAGGAAACAAAATTAGGAGGAAATACAAATGAGCATGAAAAAACTTACAAATAAGAAAGAAAATAATATTGTAACAACTGCACCATCAGATATTCCCTGGAGGGTTTACAATAGAGAATACATCAGTCAAAAAGACATTCAACGAAGAACAGCCCCAACACATGAGAGAGAACAGCATGATTCCTTCGTTGAAACAAATATACCCATGAAGAGATAAGAAAAACTTGGTGCTCTTCAATGCATGTATAAAGAAAAAATGATAGAGGTTACAACTTGCAATCTACAAAGTTCAGATTTTTAGTATTGGAATATCAGTTATACAGTCATCATTGAAGAGAAAAAAGAGACGTGAATATTTCCAAGTTTGTCTAATTTAGTCTGGCCCAAGGCCCTAATCATATAATAAAAAAATTATAACAAACTATAAGGAAGGAGGTTTTCGAAACATGCAATTACCATAAGCACAAACACATGTAGCAAAAGTTATCCCCGGAATGTTGTGAGAAAAAAGACATCACCACAAGAAGAGATCAGATAACTTCAAGTTAGCAAGAATAATTTTTGAAACAAGGAACCATAGAAGTAAGACCATCACACCTTTGAAAAATACCACAGTTGAGACCCAAAAAGAATTAAAATATGAACCCATGCCTCTCAAATGACATGTTTGAAAATTATAAACAAGTAGTTGGTGTGAAGTCATTCAATTATTAAGTATTATTCAAAAAGTAGAATGAAATTTCTGAATACAGTTACTATTAGAGTCCCAAATCGGCTAGAAGTGATAGTAGCGGGACGCATAGAAGAAAGAAAAAGAATTGCAATTGAACAAAACAAGGAATCCTGGAATGATTCCATAACTCACAGATAGGCATGGGAATGAGACCCGTCCCATTGGGGAACCCGGTGTACCTGCCCCGACCGGGTCAGGAATTCCCCACAAAACCAAGGATAGAGATCTCCAAAAGTCAAAAACCGGGGATGAGGACAGGGCCGGGTAACCGTCCCCATATATTAAATATATATATTGTACATTTATTATTAAATATATTATACATTTATTATTAAATATATTGTTTATAAAGAATATAGTATCTTTTAAATTTAGAAAGAGTATTCTGACCTTTCTTCTTATATACATTTTTTCTAACTTGTTTTACTTTTTTCAGATAAAAAACATGGAGAGCCAAAACCGTTTGATCGAACAATTACATATGATGTTGTGATTTTGTTAACATATAAATGTTTGATACTCCATAAAAGCAAAATTTTGGAAATGTGTGAGATTTAAATATGGATTGACTTTGGTGTTTAACACTCTTGATTGAATATATCTCACATAAACAGGAAAAAGTTCCCCAATTCCCCATTGGGGATCCTCGTTCACCGTTGGGAAAGGGGATGAGGATGTGATCAAATTCCCCAGCAGGGACCGGGATGGGAATTGGGGATGGGGGACGAGGATGAGGAATTGGGTCCTGGCCCCATTCCCATGCCTACTCACAGAACGATCTTCTAACATAAATGTCTGAAGAAACAATGGACATGTGGTAAAATCTTTAAGTCAACACAAGAAAACAATGGACATTAATATAAATTCAAAAGAACAAAATTTATGGTATATTTCAGGAATCAGGCAAATGAATGTAATGCCAGTGATCTACCTTCTTCGCCAGAAAGCAAAGCCAGTATCCTATCTACGAGTTCCTACACAAAATAAGGATATGTAGTTAAAAGAATACGGGGGAATTGCATCAATAATTAAAGGTAAACAAATAAAATTGCTCCTGCAGCATAAAGACTATGACTTATAAACCCAGTATAAATAAGTGATGATACAGATTACAAATTGAAAGAATAACTGAATGTGGAGTGTACACTAAATAAACCAATATATTGATCAAACTACAAGTCCTTTGATCCTTCAACTTGCATTATCGCTATACACTTCCAGTCCCTGTATAGGTGTCACTTGAACACCTGTCATTGTTCCTTATGGCATCGACTTATTAGAAGGTTACACTGACAGCATGACAGAGTACTCAGGCACCATATGCTCCAACATTCCACTTAAGACTGTAACAGATTCTGTTTTACGACCAGGAACAGAACATGTTGAACCAGAGACTAGAGCATAAGGAGTTGTCAGGGATCCATGACAACATAACTAGAATACACCAAGAAGGATAACAAATTAAGATACACAAAGAGGATGAAAGATCCAGGAAGCGGAGATATAAATTTTATAGTAAATCTCAACTGATATTATCCAATATACATGTATCATAGTTTTAATCCTGCATGTCAGCAGTATCAAGGGATCGTGAATAACCTCAGATATGTGATTCTCAAGCTAATGCTTCAACGTAACCAATATTATTATATCTAGTATAGCAGTAACTAAACTGGTAAGTGAGTTAACACAAGATCTTTGCACTGGAAGATGCTATGGAATCCAAAGCCAAGAAAGTTATATCAAGTGAACTTATGCTTTTTTCATGGCAATTACAGTACGGATCACTCACACACCTGTAGTCGATGAATCAAATATTATAGGCTGGTATTATTGAGTAGCTGGAGAAAAGAGATATGTGCTCAAACCTTAAAAAGATACCATGTGGCAGTGACTGCACTTAACAAATTAAACCTTGTTCATTAAAATCGCCTGATGGGTCAAGTCGCAAAAAGAAAAGGCAGCATTGGGCATGCAATTGCTGGGTAGCAGGAGTCTAATGTTGTATGACGACGCTTGCGGGAGTCAGAGGGCGTGAGCGCCTAGGCCCAGACGGCGTTCTTTCAGCCCAAACTACACACGTATATATACCTCTAATGTAATTGTAAACCTTAAGCCAAAATTGATAGGGTGACCAGTGTGGTGCAGATGTAGGTCATTTGTATCAAACCCTGTAATTCTCCATCTCTAATTGTATGTTGTTTTACATTCATGTTGTTTGTGATTGCTCATGTGAATCTTGCATGTTCGTTCCCTAACACCAATTAAGTCAACCCTATTATATATGGGAGCCCTGCATCACTTTTATTCTCTCTTATTGGACAAAAATACTAAAAAACCTAAGACTTGACAAAGATGTGTTACTAGAAATAAAAAGTTACAGATCTAAACATGAGTTCCCCTAGAAAATGATTGGCATAAACTCACCAGATTCAGTTCAGATAAAAGAAAACAAAAAATACCAGGCTGAATTGGAGCCCACACTCCAACCCTGCCACCAACCACAAAGCATATCCTAGAAAATGAAATTCGTAAACATATGCCAGATGAATTTATGGTTGTGTAGTTGGTACGAGGCAGTGAATTTATTTATCTTGCTGACATAGAGAATATCTAGTGTATAGGAGATAGTTATGCCAGATGAATACCAGCCAACGTCAAATTGTTGTCTAATATATCGAAAATCCACCATAGCATTAGCCACAAAGATAACATTTTCGATACAATCATCAAATCATCACAGCTTTCACGTCCATGTGATTTTATCGGCTAAAACGACAAAGGAAAATATTTTTCAATTAAAAACAAAAAATGCCATTTGTTTGACAACTCTCACGTAAAGTGATAACAAATCCTGCTTCGATTTAGAAAATAGCCAACAAGATGCTTATAAGTTTTCATTTCTGTAGTTTTCATTTTTCAGATTTCCTCACTTGTCTATTTTATGTGTAATTGAAAATGACATTCCGGTTTATGTTGGAATATTTATGAGGTTGCAACAAAAATATTAGTGTTAACTTAATCAATGGGAATGAAAATTAAAAGAAACTGTTCGGTTTTATATAATATAATGAGCTCATTCCCCCAGAAGCCCAAATTGTCATTCCAGGTTAAACTGGCCGCCGGGGGGGGGGGGGGGGGGGGGGGGGGGGTTGAAAATTCATTCCATGTCATTTTCATTCTTCTGCCTGAACCAAACACCCCCTAATTATCTTTAAACACGTTCGTATCTTGGTTCTTCAATTGCATTTTTTCCTGCTTAGCATGCACATAATTGTTATGAGCCCAACATGAAGATGTAAACTAGAGAAAATTTCCCTTTTTGTGTGGTTTGTGTCTATGTGGTGGTGGGAAATCTGAAAACCCTAAATGGGTCATATACAACCGCATATGCTCTACAAGTATAAAAGATTATATATAAAAAATTAGCATAACATGTTCTCAACAATCAAACAAACACTTGATCAAAAGAAGCACATGTTGCAGCAGCCACTGATGAATGATGAGCAAGCTAAAGTAATTATGCATTTATATGCAAGATGCTTCCGAACACTATAGCATGGAGTTGCTAGGAAGATGGTTAAGCCTGGTCGGATCTTCATTTAATAAAAATACATTGCTTTTGTATAGGTTGATTTTTATCAAAACCAAAAACGCACATAAAACTCGAGCATATACAATACAGTACAGTCATAGAGCTCATGCCAAACTATAATATTTGCTAACCAAAAAGGTAACATAAAATAAATATACAGCCCTGCAGCATATACCAAATAATATCAAGTAACTAAAAAATAGCAAAAAAGTACCAAAATCTCATATTGATGCAATAGAAAATATACCTGCTTCCTCCCTGTCTTTGCAACACCAAGTTGGCTGAGGACATCCTTAAGCTCTTGAATTCTGAAACGAGCCATTCTTTTCTAAAAGATGAAAACACATGCAGTAAGGTAATGGTGTTATAGTAACCATATAAAATATGTACAAAAGCAAAAGAAATAATGTTGTAGAAGGAAAGAACATAGAACAATCCAGAAAATTTTATTACCAATAACGACGTAGTATTAACAGATAAACAATATGAAAAAACAAAGGAATGGGTGTTTAGGGAGAGCCAATCAATGTGCCTATGTGATATAACCTATTAAAGTAAATGCATGTATTTGATTACCAATTTCGTCATCCTTGTTAGGCTAACACTTCTACCTTGCATGCTAAGACAAAATGTTTGTAGATGTTATAATATCCGTCCGTGAAACTGCAGTATACATATTCATGTCCCTATGATTCATGACAAGCCATTCACGCCATGGATGCTAAATATACTAAGTTGCCTGTTCTTGATACATGGAGATGTAGGTTTAGTTGGTACACCATTTGTGTTTGGGATGAAAAATATGTATTTATATAAGTAGTACGATATTTTTGTAGTTCGAATCATTGATAAGCTTCTTCAAAAATTAGAGGCGCCATGGATCTAACCTGATGATTCATGAACTCTGAATAAAAAGATTTGGAGACTCGCATATTCATTTCAGAGAGCTCCTATGGAACGCGTACACGAAGTTGCATATGCATATGATTACTTCAATTGTTCAAGTAAATTTAAGCGAAGTTTTTCTGCTAGACACTGACAAAAGAATGTCAGCACCCCAAGGCCAAGGCCCCAAGGATTTTATGAATTTTCAATAGTCCTTGAAAAGTATTAACATTATAAAATATTGTGGGCTAATACCCCCTCAATTCCTAAAGAGAACTTTATTTACAAACAAAGAGAGACAAATTCATTGAATATTGGTGGTATTATATGACATTCTGTCCTCAAGCTTATCCTCGTATTTACATTATCTGTATTAGAAGTAGCAAAAGGAAGACATCATTCCTTGATGTTCACATTTGTTGAGAGGACTCTTTCCAATGGAGGAGTAACGTATTTTTTTTTTATTGTGAACTATTTAAGGATGTAAATGACATTTGCATGCAAAGACAACGACTTAGATTTGGCAAACAGCATATAGCATTCTTAGAAGCAGATCCTGTCCGTCGTCAAAATTATTGTGCTGACACCCTCGGCACTCAGCAGTCAGCAGCGTAGATTTGACAAAGCTCCAGAAGCTAATTTGAAAGATTTGACTTGATGAATACAGAATCACCCGAAATCACAGAATTCGACTTAGCTTAGTTCTTGGTCTACTCCTGCACTTCTTTCATTCTGAATACTATATATATATGTATAGTATGAGCTCATATTTAAGTTCATTCACTTCCTTCACATTCCATATTTATAATCCCACTGACGATATTCTGAATTAAGAGTTCGACCCAAAAATTTAAAAGTAAAATAACATAACACGTTTCTAATCTACCAACCGCAGCACCAAAACTCTAAATCCAATAAAATGCAGCAAAATCGTAAAGAAAAATTTTCTATAGATTTTGCTTAGTCATGATTCTTCCTCTGGCTGGATACCATATTTGGAACTAAAGTAGTGCTTTTAGTTGGCCTCAACCTAAAACACAACATCTTGCTTTCTCAGACCAGTGGTGCCCCATTCAAACAAACAAGCAGACTGTTAAAATGCAGTTCCTCCTTATAAAAATTTAAGAAACACTCACATCAACTGCTATTGACTAGAAACACACACACATGACAGACCAGTGAACATTCCACTAGAGAATTTCAGGAACTCCGCTACTGCCATTTGTTCAGTGTAATGCATGGACAATTGCACTGCATGTCAAAATGATAGACGTACCTCGCCATGCTAGAGTTGTACTTGCATTACACCTGCTCGAGTACAAAAGCAATGGAGGTGAAATGTGCACCAACTATTGTCTTTCCCTTTCTTCTTCTATACCCACACACAGATAGAAATTCATACACCCATAAACACATAGATACGTACATATGATTCTAAAAATACCAATCTTTCTCTGCGCGATTTCAGACATTATGGGCAAAAAAACCTAATAACATCCCCGATCAATATAATGTATTCAAAAACCAATCGAAAGGGAAAATTTAACACAATAAAATTCATATTCAAGAACTCAATTGACATTACCCTCAATCAATATCAACCAATTGGAGAATTACCTTGCATTCCGACACGATATCATCCATCTCTCACCAATCTTCTGTTCCAAAGAAAGAACACAAATGCAATTAACTAACCGGATTGATCAAAAGAAGATCGATTGCAATTGTGATCACGTCGATAGATTTGAAGTGAAAAGGGGGTTAGGGATCGTGAAGATTGTGTATTCTTTCGGGAGGGTTTAGTGTGTGTTTTTGGGATGGGTAATTGTAGTTACAGTAATGCGTGGTAGCAGATAGTTGAAAGTAGAAGGTGAAGAAGAAGAAGAAGAAGAAGAAGACAACGACGACTGGTGGGAAAGTGGCAGCGTTACCGCAGCTCGATGGCCGGACGTCAAACGAGGGTTTTTCGGTAGAAGATTTTTATTTTGGTTGTTTATATAGCGTCGTCACTCACATCCAGATTTTTGTATTTCACGGCAATTTCGAATCAATCAAAAAACATTTTTGGAAAAAAATCATTTCTTCCAAAAATGTTTGTTTTTACAAAAGTTTGAGTTAGGGTGTTTGGGATTGCTTATAAAAATAATTTATTGATTTATTACGGTATGGTATCGGTAATAAGCATTTTTGAGTATTTGGATAAACAATTTATATCGGTGTCAAACAGGTAATAAGAAGTTTTTTGAAGCAGTTAAACCATTCTAACTTATAATAAGTTGATAAGCATTTTTGTAGAAAAACATAAGTTATTTCAAATAAGCAATCTCATACACCCCCTTAATATGTTTATTTAGATCAAAATAATGTTATGTTCCCCATTTTTACGACATGTTTTTATTTTTGTTTTAGATGTTATTCCTAAAATAACCTTCCATTTTCTCTTTCTACTGTAATCTAAGGGGATTTTTAGTTTGCAAGATTCCGATAAAATCTTGAAGGATTTAGAATGGTTTAGTTCAGTTAACCAAATTTTGTTTTAGTGTTTGGTTTATATATGGTATTGAATTGAATATCATGCATTTTGTCATTTCATTACAGTTAGAGAGGGGAATAATCCATTTTAAGCCAATAATTTAAGATAATTAGATTATTAATTAAGTAAATAATTATCATCGTCTATTAAATAAAAATTAATGCATTTTTTAAGAAATATCACATGCATATCTTTTTCTCTATCGTCTCCTAATCTCCGTGTTAACATATACGTAAGCATATAAATATGCACACAATATGAACACATTATGTAAACAATTTTAAGAAAATTTCTTTTATTAGGGTGTCCATTATGTGTTCACAGCTGATGACTTTAGATTTAGTCTTATTGATTTAATTGGTCAGATATCGTAGATTTAGAGTGTATTCACAATATGTTTACAAATTATAATATATTTCAAACAATGCGTTCACCATATGTGCATATTCAATTATGTGTATAGGTAGGTATATGTTATAGAAAGAAATGATAGGAGAGAGAAATAATAGACATGAGAAAAAGGGGCTTTTTTAGCTTATGTTAGATTTTGTTTTTTCAACTAGTTTTTTATGATCTAAATTGTATCTTACAATTATTACAAATTTCTCAAAAGAAGGTGTGCCATGTATATAATTCCAAAAAAAAAAAAATATATATATATATATATATATATAGTTTGGTTCAAATACTAACCAATTTTTCTGTGTTAACTATGTTAATCAACTTCAACCAATCATATTTCATCTTTTTTTTTTGTTCAAATGTAACTCATATATTAAATACAAGGGTATTTAAGTAATTTGTCAATTTATGTAACTTCCAAATAATTAATTGGGAGTTACAAATTTGAAAATATCACAAWTGATCATGATGCAATATTGACATTGGGATTTCACACGTGTTCATGTTCTATAATTCACATTTATTTTAATCGACAATTCTCACATTTTACATATGAACACATCAGAAATCGCACAGTCCTAAATGTCGTGATTCATAAGTGTTCATGTATATTCAAGTCACTAGATGTTCATATGAATACATACACACACACACAGAACATGTGAAAACATGTGAACACGTATGAAAACACACAGCCATGGATGCTTTGGTTCATAGATGTTCATGTACATACAGCAGAGTTAGCTGCTGAATATACAGAAGATGTTCATACGGTTCACATGTTGTTCATAAGTCTAATCTTTTTTGTTTGATGTGGTTTGAAGATATACACAAGTTTTTCATATGTCTGACAACTCGTGTATCAAATATATATTATTTGTACCTAAATACTCTTTGATATTTTGTTCATATATGTTAATTGAAAATATTAATTTAATAATTATTTTTAAATATCATTAAATCACAACCGTTTATTATGCAAATTAACGGTCAAGATCGGTTAACAAAGTTAGCATGATAATCTTGATTAGCATTTGAACCAACCCTTATATATATATATATATATAGCGAGAGAGAGACAGAGAGAGAGAGAGAGAGAGGAGAGGGGGACTTTTTGTTAACAATACGTTGGTGTTAACTCTACAAACTACTTTAGACCAATAAGAAACTAATTTTAAACAAAGTTGTTTCAAAGGAAGTAGGCACTGGTTGAGGATAATTAGGTAATTTTCTATTTTATTCTTTTTTTATGACTTGAAATGATGTTACAATGTAAACATGATTCCATGATTTGAGACATTTTAATTATATTAGTTTTCTTTAAGTTTCTTAGCGATCAATACCATGGAATAACAAAGATGGATGATACACATGAACATAGTAGCCGACAACACGCATGAACGTGCACTCAATCAAGTATCTGTTCACTAATGAACATTTCATTTATGTCATATTTTTATTGTGAACATTGTTCATAAGCTTATGATTTCATATGCGACAAATGTCATGTATTGAACACTGTTCATATATGTCAAATGTTCATTAGTCCACACCATTCATAAGTTACGCACAATTCATAAGTTAAACAATCAAAGATTGATGTCGGTTTCAAATAAATGGACAAATTACCGGAAAAATAATTAATGCTAAAATAAATTTCTATAATCTTTTCGACAATTCTCCTGTATTCATGATTGTTCACATATGTTTATTAAACATTCATTTTTAATTTGTTACAAAAATGCTATAATGGATGTAAATCATAGGTTCCAAGATGAATGGTTAAGATTGGTTCACAAAGTTAACACATTTATTGAGTTAACAAAGAACCAACCCCTGTATATAATGGTTCATATGAGAATGTTAACCAAATAAGAAAACCAGAGAATGAGTATGAACCACACAATTCATTGAATAATGTTTTAGATAAATAATTCCAAAAACAAATAAAGACATAAAAGTAATGGTCTGATTGTTTTTTTTAAATTACCTCTTAATACCTCTGAAGTCTGATTCGTTTAGACGTTTAGATATTAAGAGCGTTTGTTTTATTTCTAAAATAAGAGTTTAAAAGCTCTAAATGTCATCTGAAATTTTAAGTGGTAAACATATCTCTTAATACCTCTTAATCCTAATCCGCTCTCTATCAAATGGTAATTATTTTGAGGACTGAAAGAGATTTGTTAGCAAAAATTGTTTATCTTTTATACTTTTGTATAAAAACTATTTATCTTGTATATTTTTGCAATAATTTGACCGATTCAGATTTCACATGTAAAAACAAACAATTTTACCGATCTAGATTTCAGACTTCAGAATCACTTCTTATAAATCAAAAGTAAAATCAGACTCAGATTTCAGCACTTCTTAAAAAACGAACGCCACCTAATTTTTTATATAGAAGTTATGTAAGACATTTATATAAATTTATATTTTTACCATATTTATAATATTCGTGTTCCGTTAACTCGTACAAATTGGGTTAAGTGAATTTTTGTTAGAATTGTGCATAATATATTTGTACCATTTGTTTAACCAACTTGTACCTCAGACGAATTTTACGTCAAAAATTGAATTTATACTTATATTGACATAAAGTTGAGAATCTAACTTTTAAGATCAAAACCACCAAATGGTTGAATTATATATATATATATATATAACAAAAGAAAATAAAAAAATAAAAAAAATTATATATATATACATATGCATATGGGAGGCGGTGATGAATCGCCAATTCCCTTGCCTCATCTTCTCGTCTCAATTCTCTCTCTAAAACTCTCATCTCTTTTTAAATTTTTTCTAAAACTTTTGTATCTCTCTAAATTTTACGTCAAGTTATTAAGAGAATCGAAGTAACAAATATATATTCGGAATCCACTCTCGGAACCCTTCTTAAAAGTATAAATTTCATTCAATTTTATTAAGGTGTTTATGTTAGGGTTATTAAGATCGGTTTATAAACTGTGTTTATGTCTAGGTTTACGGATTGATGTTGTCAAAATCATGATATATTTGATGCTTAAAATGCTAGAAGTGGTTAAATGGATATAGAAATGAAAATGGTATATTATAGTTTCAATATGGTTAGATTGTGGTTATACGTTTAACCGTACACCATTTGTTCGGTTAAATGTCGAAAATAGTAAAAATGCATGATTAAGATTAGGTTAGTGACCATTGGACTTGTTTTACTGTTTAGTATGTTGAAGTATATTTATAGCATGTAAATGTAGCGAATCATGGAAGTTGGATCATAAAAGTTAGTCGGAAATTACGGAATCGAATTTTACCGACAATACAACTTTTGTATTTTGGCAGTGTATAACTCACAAACCGTATATCGAAATAAGCTCATATTTTGCAGTCAGAAAGATCTTACTGCATACTACAACTTTTATGAGAGTCAAAAATCCAGTTATGACTCTAGGTGGCTCGAAACAGTGTATTTTTTGGGCTGTTTACACTGTATTCGGGATTAATTTGTAGTTTTGTAAAATTCATATAAAATAGATGGATGATCCAAAAGAGATGATTTCAAAAGCAATAGACTCGTATGTTACCAATCTACAATTTTCATTTAGAAAATATAATCTGGATTGGTCTCTAAATAGGGTAAAAATGCTTAGAAATAACAGGGACGAAAGAAAATAAGGTTAAGTTTTTACGTTGAGTTTTCAATTGTATCCGGCTGTCATTCTTGAAGTCTACGATGTTTAAATACATTAAGACCTAAGTAATTTTATTATAATAGTTATATTACGGTTTCTATGTGTTATAAATTGTAACCCGTTTATACATTCGTTAGGCACGCGGGCAAATCAAACTCGATCGTGAATTTCCGTTTGATCGTGCGTTAATTGTCAAATTCGGTTAAAGTACGGATTTCATATCTCACTTGACATGAGAATAGTCATTTGCGTAAGGCTTTCTAATCCAGATAATCTG